CCCATTTCTGCAATCCCTCTCCACCCATTATCATGGGTCGTTTTTCTGCAGTCCCTCTCCACCCATTATCATGGGTCGTTAATGCTCGTTAACGGTGGCCTTTCTGGTGTGTGGTTCTAATCTTTCTGGGGAGGGATGAATTTTATTATTTATTTATAGTGCTGGAAAGAGTTGCTTTGCTTGGAGTTATCTCTCTTAGAGCAGCCCTTCTGTTCTTACAGGTATTGCTTCAGCCTGGATCCATAAAAATGGGTAGCTCCAACATCCAGTTTGGTTGTGGAGCAGATTGGGCTGGTTCCCAATCTCTCTGTGTTGTGTGAATGCTGCAAAAGTACTTGCCCTGGACTGTGCCATGAGCAATCCAAAATGTAAGCTGTTTCTGTCAGATCACACCCTAAATCCCATGCAACATGCTTCTGAGTAAATATATATATTTGTATGTATGCTAAATGCAAGATACTGTATGAAGTAAATGTATGTAGTTATTTTTTCCAGGTACAGAAGGATCAAATTTATTTTGTTTTGTTTTTGTTTTTGCTAACTTCCATTTAAAGTATGAAGAAAATAAATGAAGCATTTTTTGGCCATGTTGAAATAGAGATTATAAGCTGTATTGCAATCCAGTGTTTTTTGGTTAAGAAGCATTCTGTATCCGGAATTTGTTGTTGTATGTTCATCAGTGTTGCAGGAAAGCAAACAAACACAAGTTGCTGTCTACTATTAGTAATATTTCAGAAATTAATATTGATTTAGGGTTAAATTCCTAACTTCTAAAAAATTCCCTATCGTTTTAAATTAAATCATCTAGTATGAGACATTGATTAAAATAATAAGAAAATGTGCAGAAATTATTGCCTTATATATCCAGGATTTACAGTAGCCCCTCTTATTGACTGAAACTCCACTTAACTTTTAGCCTGGAGTTTAGAACCTCCAGCCTTAACATTTAGCCTTGACCTTCAAGGTGTATAATGGTTTAAGCATTAAATAGAAACTGGTGGGGAGAAGAAGGCATCAGTTTTCTTATCAAAATTTGCTCAAAAATTAATATCTAATGAGTTGTTCATAATCTGTGGCTGTGGTCTGTCAGTCAGAGTGAGAGACAGGGCAAGACAGGATAAATGCCAGGAACAGAAAGTGATAAGGTGTCCTCTAGAGAAGAAAATATGATCCCTTCCAACACATTGATCCTGATTTTTATTTACAGAGCTTACAATTGTTTCAGTTTATTTTCACAGCTATCCTGCATAGGCTAAATCCAAGGCCATCCATTGAGTGTTATGGCTAATAGGATTTATCAGTACATGGCTGATGCTGATGTGTCCCCTTCCATTTAATTTCATTTAAATCATCTAGAGCTTGATGAAATGTTCTGACATAAAGGGTGGCACTGGAAACCCATAAAACAGCTGATACCAGGTCATGCCATATTGTCATTCCAAAATGTTTCCCAAGATTTCAAAGTATTCCCCAAGCTGCTACCTCTCTTGGACTCTGTTCCACTCAGAGATTAGGCATGCTCAACTAGTGACAGTTTCCACATAAAATAATGTTTAAGCAGAACTGCTTTGCAAAGTCATTGGTGAGTTAGCTCAAAGCAGTGTTTCCCAATATCTGTCAGCATTTTCCTCTGTATGTGAAGCTATAGCCTCTTCATCCCAAGTCAAAGATGCAAGCCTCAGAAATAATCTCTGGATAATCAGACAGGCATCTTTAGCAAAGGAGGAGAGGTCAAATTGCCTCACATAGGTCAAATACATTTCAAGGCTCTCCTTTTTTTAAGACCTGGTGATGGAGCTGCTTTCAGCAATTGGCAAGAAGAGTTGGAGGCTGGCAGCACAGTGGCATGTGAGTGGACAGGCCAGTTTTAAGGGCTGGACCCGCATTAGGTGCACCTGGGATGGGGATATTCATATTAGTTTATGAATACAAATATCCCCATCTCTGCACATAACCATCTACTACGTGGCAGATCATGGCATATAGTGGGCAAGGCCCTAACATTAGACAAGATAAGTTTTTGTGGCATATTTGGAAATACACTTGAGAACAAAAAGTAGTCAATAATGTAATGTATTATATATTTACCTTTGGGAACTGTTCTTAGATTCTCCATCTTTAATATCCAATACATCTTGAGCTGTCATTCATGAGGAAAGCATATAAAATTATGCACTTAACAGGTTAAGTAATGTCAACAGCTTTTGGCAATTTGCAATGCGCTGCGGGCTAAACCGCAGAAGCCTGTGCTGCAGGGTCAGAAGACCAAGCAGTCGTAAGACCGAATCCACGTGACAGAGTGAGCACCCGTCACTTGTCCCAGCTCCCGCCAACCTAGCGGTTCGAAAGCATGCAAATGCGAGTAGATAAATAGGGACCACTTCAGTGGGAAGGTAACAACGTTCCGTGTCTAAGTCGCACTGGCCATGTGACCACGGAAGATTGTCTTCGGACAAAACGCTGGCTCCATGGCTTGGAAACGGGGATGAGCACCGCCCCCTAGAGTCAAACACGACTGAACAAAAATTGTCAAGGGGAACCTTTACCTTTTTACCTGTGACAGCTACCTGGCAGGCAGAGGTTCAACAGGGACAGGCATAATAACAAGGGTAATCAACAACAATATAAAAGGTACTAGACAAATTACAGTGGTGCCTCGCATAGTGAGGTTAATCCGTTCCGGATTAACCTTCGCTATGTGAAAACTTCGCTAAGCGGAAAGTAAAAAGCCATTGGAACGCATTAAACATCGTTTAATGTGTTCCAAATCGGCTGAAAACTCACCGTTTAGCGAAGTTTCCTGGGTCCGGCAGCCATTTTCGCACCCTCGATAAGCGAGGGGAGGGCGCGAAAACGCTGCGCGCGGGAATGGGACAATGAAAGAAATTAGGGAACATCTACAGGTACACAGGTATTCCAGTCCCCTCTAGAGTGATGGAACAAGTGAATTACACTCGACTGCCCGATTGATTGATTGACTGATTGATTGATTGATTTTCATACCGCCCATCAGGCTGCTAAAGCCACTCTGGGTGATTTACAAATAGGATAAACAACATAATAACAAGGGTAATCAACAATAGTATAAAAGGTACTAGACAAATTACATTAAAAACCACATAATAAAAACATAATAAAATGAAATGAAAATAGAAACATGGTGGTTGGATGTTAGTTACTGAAGACACAAATGTATCAGGGCATTTTAAAATCCATGTAAAATACGCTCCTCAATTTTCAGTGTAGCAATTCTAGGAAAAAGTAGTGTCTTATAAACTGAAAAATATGGTAACTTCTTACTGCAAACTATTCCAATTTGTATTGGGGACAATTTTTTTTTCACAATGGCAAGGAGTGCTAAATAATTTTATCAACCTGAGCAAACACTTGAGGATATCTAAGACGGCTATGTACAGATCAGTGAAATTAGGAGGAGTTGGATTCTCCATCATAAAACCTACTGCAGTGCACTTAAATTGCATTATTTGCATTATTTTGGATGATAGAACTCAGACCTGGCTACTTCTTGAGATAGCCAATCTAAGTATAAAGTAGATCAAGGTTGACTCAGCCTTCCATCCTATATAAAGTAGATCAAGTAAGGGGAACTCCTTTTTTTGTGTAGGAACAATCAAAAATAGTTTCCAAAACCCCAAACCCTTTTTTAAAGAACATGTTTTTAATATGGCTAAAATGCTTTAAAAGATTAATAATCTCCCCCTCTCCACTGATCCCTCTCTCTGTTTTGGTAAAGACAAGTTCCTTCAATTTAAGGAACTGAAAGGTAAAGGTCCTTATTGGTGGCAAGGTCTTTTTATTAACCAAACTCCAAACACAACAGAGCAAATAACTAGCTAGAAGGAGTAACACATTCTTGGTTCCAAATAGCTCAGTGCTGTACTACTAACCATTCAAAAACAGAAGCCTGTACAAATCCATTTGAAGCTTATTTCAGTATTATATGACATTGGTTCCAAATAGCTCAGTGCTGTACTACTAACCATCCAAAAACAGAAGTCTGTACAAATCCTTCCTTTTGAAGCTTATTTCAGTATTATATGACATTAAGGAGGAGTTAGAAATGACTTAGGAGAGTGATCTGGAATGCAGCATTGATAATGATATCAGGCAGTCAATGTGGAAAAAAATCAGTATTTCAGAACATATCAGTCAAACTAAGGGAACACAATTTCAAATTAATATACAGTTGGTATCTGGCATCTAAAAGATGAAATCAAATTAACAGCACAATGAAGTTTGTAGGGCTGGACAGGCTGTTATGGCTCATATTAGGACTTGTAACAGTTGTGCTTGAGAGTTCAAACTTTTTGGAATACAGTCTACTTTCAGATGGAGACAATTACAAATCAAAAAATCCAATTCGCCCCCTCTCTTGGCTTGCTGACATTGTTTCAATAAGAAAATGCAAATTTATTACATAAACAGCTGGTCTCAATGTTATATCTAGCTGTCAGGTTGGATATTGTAGCTCATTGGAAGGGCATGATGGATATTACCATTTCTCATTGGTATAGTGACCTCTGGTACATAGGACTTACAGAAAAGCTAACTGTTCAAGCCGAGGCGTTATGAGAAAAAGGGGATGGCACACCATTTTTACAAAACTTTTGTAAACTCAAAGAAAGAGGATGCTCCTCTTCCTGTCTTACATGCTGATTTGTGGAAAGTCATTTTTAGTTGATCGCAGTGAATTGACATTCTTTACAGTCCTGTAATCTCATCCTATAGCTTTGTTACTTTATGAATTAAATGTTATGTATCTTGATAACAATAAAAATAGTTTTTGCAATGGAAAGCATATAGTAAACAATTCAGTAATGAACAAAAAACCAGATTATCATGTCATTATTTAATAACTGCATCACCCTCCATCTGTAAAAATTACTATGAAACTCAAATTGTTTTGTATTGTTGTAAACTTTAACTGTTATAATATTTACTCAAATACTATTTGTGTTTGCATATTTTTCCTCCTTTAGGCCCATGCAAGAGCCTGGCATAATTATAACACCCATTTTCGACCCCAACAGAAAGGATATTTGTCAATAACATTGGGATCCCACTGGATTGAACCGAACAAATTCAAGGACAAGTCAGACATTGCAAAGTGTCAGCAGTCCATGCAGAAAGTGCTGGGGTGGTTTGCTAAGCCAATACATGGGGATGGGGATTACCCAGAAGAGCTGAAGATGGAACTCACCTCTCTCTTGCCAAATATTACTGAGGCAGAGAGAAACTACATTAAAGGGACTGCTGACTTCTTTGCTTTCTCCTTTGGTCCCGATAATTTTACACCACCAAATAAGCTCCCCAAAATGGGACAAACGTTCTCTCTCAACCTGAGGGAAGTATTGAACTGGATTAAACTGGAATATAACAATCCCAGAATCTTGATTGCAGAAAATGGGTGGTTCACAAATGGCCATGTACAAACAGAAGACACCACTGTTATCTACTTAATGAAGAATTTTATCAATAAGGTGTTACAAGGTTTGTAATGTTGTTTGGTACTAAAATTGGTAAATCTCAAAGAATATTACTCGAATCACATTACATAGAATGTCTGTCTGGATGTCTGTGTGCTTTTTACTGTGCAGTGTGTTTTTTTACTGTGCAATCACACTGCCTCATTAACAGAGTTTTAACAAAAACATAGTCTTCAATCTGTGTTTCCTCAGTGGTTTCCCACTTTTCACAGAAAAAAAAGTATTATTTTATAAAAAAGGATGGAAAGCTGCATATTTGTGTTTTAAGAGTTTTGAAATGTAAATCACTGGAGGCATTCAAGAAAAAAATTAGATAATCACCTGGAAGATACACTTTGATTGTATTCCTGCATTGAGCAGGGGGTTGGACTTGATGGCCTTGTAGGCCCCTTCCAACTTCTATGATTCTATGATCACCTTTCTCTGCTAATAAGTAATAGACTCAAAGCAGGCATGGCAAAATGCCTTGCCTTCCTTGATAAGGGGAAATCCCTCTTTGGAGCCAATGAGTTAAAATAGGTTAGGTAACTTGCAGCCCTTTGCCCAATTTCAAAGCTAGAAATCCATTTGGGTTTCTGGCAAGAGCTACCTGGTGTTTCCCCACCACCACCACTAATCAGTAGATGAACATGTTGTGTTTGAGAAAAAGAAAGGAACAGAAGAAGGAGAGAGGAAAGGAGGAGTGGCAAAAAGATAGAAATATCCTATTTTGTCCTTTCTACCACAAGTATGCAGCCCACCATTGATTAATCCTGGAGGAACAGATCTCAATAACAACAAAACCAGATGGGCAAGTTGTCTGAGTTGATACAAGGCAGCTTCCTACGTAAAGAACCGTGTCCCAAAACTATGTTTATATGCACATTGCTGATGCAAATAATACTCAAGTTATGCTAAAATAACATATATTTCCCTTACACAGCTATTAAATATGATCAAATTGATGTGTTTGGTTACATGGCTTGGTCCCTCCTGGATGGCTATGAATGGCAACATGGTGTAAAAAACCGACGTGGACTATTTTATATAGATTTCAGTAGTAAAGAAAAGGAACGGATTCCTAAGACGTCTGCATTATATTACAAGCAAATCATACAAGAAAATGGATTTCCTAGGAATGAATCAATCACAACGTTGCACAAACAGTTTCCCTGTGACTTCTCTTGGGGTGTAACAGAGTCAGTTATGAAGGTAAGCATAATAAATTGTAACATAGTGTTGAGATCAAATGGATTAAACAAGAACTTTTTGCTTATTCAGAGTTTCCTAAAACATTAGATATCATAAATTCGGTATCTCCTAACCTTCTCTGAATGATATTGCCTCTTATATAGGATGATCACTGAAAATAGTTTGAGATTTCCACTTAGATTTATTTATTTAACTTACTAGATAACTATGTTTCTTTAGTTACCTCATAACAGAGGGTGTCTGCATGACTCAAAAAATAGGTAGAGTGTTAATGATACAACATATCATTTATTAAAATGGAGAGGAACAATTATAAAATATTTAAAGGGCCTAAGTAAAAAAAAAGTAATTGCTCAGTGAATGAAAGGCTATAAATATGGCAGGCAAACCTCGCTTCAGAAAGTTTTTCCTTCAGCATGTTGCCACTATCACAACAGACACTCTCTTCAGCAGTCTTCATAGCCTCTAGGGCAGTGATCTGGGCAGGGGTCCCCAATCCCTGGTCCGCAGCCCAGTGCTGCTCCGTGGGCTTGCCGGAACTGGGCCACGGAGATGGTGGGTATGTCACACGTGCAGGGCTGTGTTGCACTCGTGGTGTGTGTGTTGTGCTGACACCCCCATGCACAGAGCCCCCCCAACCAGTCCGCGGTCCCAAAACAGTTGGGGACCGCTGCTCTAGGGGATATAAAACAGACACTGTGTTCTTCATTCTTGTTGGTTGCACTATCTTGACAAGGCTCCTCAGTGAATAATGTTCAAACTCCACAAGAGTCTTTGCTTGCAACTGAGAATGAAACAAAGAGTACATTTTTTAATTTTAATTTTTTTTGGCCATAGGCTTCATAATTTTGCAACCTGTTCTTGTGCAAAACCAGTATCCTTTCACTTTGAGATGCAGAGAGCAAACACAGAGGAGGTGGTGATTGAGGACTGTCTGTCTGTTTAAAAGGATGCAGATAACCTCTCTGAAGTTTCTGTTCCATAGAAGCACATGCAACAAAGCAATAGGCATTGTTATTTTGCACAATTTGTGTTATTTTTTGGTCAAAATATTACTGATGTTAAAGCTGTATTTCTGCAAAATCAATTTGTGCAACAACAAAAAAGCAACACTAAAAAGAAAAACACTCCAACCCACACAGCCTATTGTTCAGTTTTGTCAAGAATGCCAAAAAATAATTCTTGGGCAGGGAGGCTACAGCAAGAAAGAAGAAAGTGCTAAAATATTAATTTCCGTATTCTGTGGTAGTGGGTTCTTTTCATTATAATACATTTCTAATTGTTGAAAAATGAAATATAATTTCATTTCAACTCCGCTCCAAGCAACCGCTAAAAAGGCTTAAACATATCATACTACTCATTGATATCAATCCACATTAATAGTTAGTTTGGGGATATACATAATGTCTTTTATTAGTTTAGTAGAAAACCTTGTAAGGTCAGAAGAAGGTAATTTGACAGTGAAACAGGATTAATGCTGAGAGAGAGATACAGAATGATAAAATGTAGTAATAAATACAGCTACTGACAAAATAGAGAGGGAAAAGAAACGCTGACTGTTAATCATGCTGCTTCTTGTCATTTGCAGATTTCTTTCCCTAGTGGCTCATTTTGTTCCTTCTACATTAGTGTTACTCTCCCTCCTTCTTCAGTCTTACAACTTGCTGTATGTGGTTGCAATGACTGCCAGGTCTATGTGAACATGTTAAAGGATAAGTGAAGCTGTGCCTTTGGCCACTAAAGCCTCCCTTGCCAACACTGGCTGTGGGGAGTTTGTGGTAGTTCACGGTGGTACTATGTTCCCCTTCCATCATGTAATCATCTCATCACAGCATCAAAGAAAGCACATACCAGCTGAACCCCTGCTGTTTAGCATAACAACAACACATTTCACACAATGCTATAATCAGCTGAAATCCTGCTGTTTAGCATAACAACAACAACAACAACAACAACACATTTCACACAATGCTATAAGCAGTTACAGATCTCAGAAATAACATCATCAGAGCACATAGTGCTGTCCTCTGAAGATGCTGACGACAGAGACTGGCGAAACATTAGGAAGAACAACATTCAGAACACGGCCAGAGAGCCCAAAAAACCCACAACAACCATAACATCATCAGAGCTACAAAAAAACCAAAAAAACAAAAAAAAACCCAGCAACATTAGGAACAGCATACATACTGCACTGATATTTAATAGATATTTAGATTTTTGGTTAAAACTTGTGTCTGTTATATAATACCAATCAATTTTTTATAATTTTGATTGACTGTGCCTATTGTTTTTGAACAACAACAACAACAATAATAATAATAATAAGCAGCAGCAGCAGCAACACAGGTGTTGCATAATCAAAATACCTGGTCCATTTAATCCACTTGTAGACCAATTTTGAACTGGATGTGTTTTCTGGACCATACGGACAACCCAACATATAATACATTGGCCCAAATTCCATTGCTCAGTGCAATAAATTGTACTAGAGTAGGATTATTGAACCAATAGAAATTTAGTGAGTCAGCTCCTCTGTAAGTTCTATTGATTCAAATGGATCAACTCTAACTGCAAGAGGACTTGCTAAAGTCACAACTTTAGTAAGTCCTGCTCCTTAGTGCAGTCATTACTACACTAAGCAACAGGATTTTGACCACTGCACTAAGATAAATGGAAGGCTAGAAGAACATGGGTGACTATGATCAGATGACCTATATCCAGGTGAGGTCATTTTTTACATATTAATTGGAGTCGACAGAAGGCATTGAGCCCCTAATGAAAGTGCTGGAGCACTAAGTATGCTTTAAATGTGAATGTGATCTTCAGAAACTCCAGCCAGCAAAGCTGGTGGTGAAGGCTGCTGGCAAGTGCAATCAAAGAACACCAGGGTTACCCAAAGTTGGGAACCACTGCTTTAGTACATGTACAACCCCTTTTAATGAGATTGAATGCCACTAATTTGGGCAAAAGATCCACCTGACAGCAGCACCTTTATTCACTTTGGCTGGGTCTCAAGGTGATTAACCTTCCTCCAAATTGTTTGGTCATTTGCGAATTAGGATCCCAAACATTGTTGGACAGGACAGGGCTTCTGTGGGTTGAAGTTCAACAACAACTGCAGACCAGTGAAACACTGAACTAGTACATCCACTTGCTTTCACACAGCCACCTACAATTTACATGTTCATAGTCGATGCCTTGATTTTTTCCCTCCTTGGCATTTTGCTTAGATAGGGGTGGGCAACAGGCAGTCCTCCCAAAACCCAAATATGGAATCACAGCATCTTCCTCATGGCTACTTTTATTTTAAAACTTTTATGGGGATTGGGCCCAAATGTACCCTTGTGCCCTCTTAAGAGGCTTGGAGGCAATTTGACTATGTTTTGTGGCTCATCCAGCACCCTGAAGGAACTGCACAGCCTCCCCCTTGATCTTTGTAATGATTCAGGGCCTTTACAGAGTGCAAGCAAGCCTTTCTCTTAAAACACATACACACACATTTTTGTAAGATCTTTGTTTGAAAGTGAGGGCTGCAGGAACCCAGGGCCCAGGGATAGACATGTGTGTCCCACCCTCTGAAGGTTTCCTGCTCTTGCACTAAGGCAAAGTAACTATTGGATAGAATAGTAGTCTCTAGTGATGGCAGGAGAAAAGCTTGGCATGCTATTTACTGCTTAGATCCATAGCACTGACAGCAGTTGCCGTTAACAAAATACCCAAAAAGGATAAATTATATAATTCGACTCTACTTTACCTGGGAGGAATAATTAAGGATCCAATGTTTTATTTTCCTTTGCAGGCAGAATCTGTCGCTTCTTCTCCACAGTTCTGTGATTCCAACTTGTATCTCTGGAATGTTACCGGAGATGGACTTTTCTATGAGGTGAAAGGGGTGAAGCTGAAAACACGACCAGCTCAATGTACTGACTTTGTCAGCATTAAAACACAACTTGAGCTGCTGTCTAAAATGAAAGTCACCCACTACAGATTTGCACTCGATTGGTCACTCCTTTTGCCTAGTGGCAATTTGTCATCTATAAACAGGGAAGTCCTTCGTTACTATCGTTGTGTGATCAGTGAAATGCTCAAACGCGGTGTGAACCCCGTGGTCACTTTATATTATCCAACTCATCGTTCCTTAGGCCTGCCTGGTCCTTTACTTCAAAATGGCGGATGGTTGAATCGGTCCACTATCCAAGCTTTTAGAAACTATGCAGGAATGTGTTTCAAGGAACTTGGGGACTTGGTTAAATTCTGGATCACAATAAATGAGCCCAACCGACTGAGTGATATTTACAACAGCAGCAGTAATGACACCTACCTGGCAGCACACCATTTGTTAATAGCACATGCTTTGGCCTGGCATGTCTATGATAAACAATATCGATCCTTTCAGTATGGTCAGATATCCTTGACCCTGCATTCTGATTGGGCAGAACCAGCCAATCCCTTTCTTGATACCCACTGGCAAGCTGCTGAAAGATTTCTTCAGTTTCAAATAGCATGGTTCTCAGATCCCATCTTTGTGACAGGAGACTACCCAGAGGCCATGAGGAAATACCTTGCCTATAAGAAGAGCGAAGGCCTCTCCAGTTCCTCTTTGCCATCTTTCACAGACAGAGAGAAGGAACTTGTAAAGGGGACAGCTGATTTTTATGCCTTGAACCACTTCACCACAAGATTTGTGATCCATGAATCCAAAAATGGAAGTCGGTATGAAATTGACCAGGACATTCAGTTTCTGCAAGATTTCACATGCCTACTTTCCCCATCTCGTGTGGCGGTGGTACCTTCAGGGTTACGGAAAGTCCTAAATTGGATTAAAAAGCATTATGGCAACATCGCTATCTACATCACAGCCAGCGGGGTAGATGATCAGTCTGCAAATAACGATGCCCTCCGTAAATACTACATTGAAAACTATGTACAAGAAGCTTTAAAAGGTGAGTAGGTGATCAAAAAGCCAACAGTCTCAGTTCCCGAGTCAGACAGATGTTTCTCGTCAACTGATGCTTGTGAGAATCAGGGCCACCCTAAGATATTTTGCTGCTTGAGGCAGAATAGCAATTGGCCTATTCCTCCTCATTTCCCCAAAGATGCAGAGTACGCAAGACAAAAAAGGAAAGAAAAATAAATGCAAGGATTTCCCTTAGGTTCCACCTGATGCATATTCGTTGTGGTTGCAACAACTCCATCTGGTGGCAGCTGTTATTGATAATGGCAGGAAACTGTAAAACTACCCTTACACAAATATACTGTATTATGCTGTTAGTCTGAGAAGGACAAACAACCAGAGTAAGTTGATTATGTGGGAAATGCTGTTTTTTTGGGGGGGGGGCTGAGTGACAGTTTTGAGGGGGAATGGACATCATGGTTGACCTTTGGAGACAAATAATGGGAGATAGTTTTGATGCCTCATTTAGAAAAAGTAGACCAAAAGAAGGTCTCCTTTCTAACTTCCTAGAATTTAGCATTGACCAATGTGAGAGTCTGGATAAACAAAAGAAGGTACTCCTTCACACACAGTTATTTTCTGTAATTTTCTGCCCCAGTATGTGGGGATGGCGCCCCCTTAGGATAATGGAATGATATTAACATTTTAATTTGTTTTTAATTTTACCTATACTTCAAATGGTTCAATAATTTTAAATTGTGCAACTAGCTTAGAAACAAGCTATGGGAAATGTCATCGTCCAACAGCACCTGCCCTTTCAAGGGGAGACACCATGAAAAATAAAAGAGTGTGGGTAAGAACTGAAAAAGACAAGAGTAAAACAATTATTGTGGGTGAATGATACCTGTAAGAGCTGTATAATGGCTTCTCCACTCAATAGACTGGCACAATTCAATAATTAACTTTTATCTCTCTATTGTTGCTTTCAGCTTATCATATGGACAAAATCAATGTACGAGGGTATTTTGCTTTTAAACTGACTGATGAGATCACCAGACCCAGACTTGGGTTCTTCACCTCTGAATCCAAAGCCAAGTCTTCTGTCCAATTCTACAACCTTCTAATCAGCAACAATGGCTTCCCCTTGGAGCCTGCAGACAAGATGTGTAATCAACCAAAGGAAAAAGCACCCTGTACTCTCTGCCTATTTCTAATGCAAAAAAAGCCACTGATATTCTTTGGATGTTGTCTTGTCTGTACGCTCATCTTGCTCCTAAGTATTATTGTTTTTCACAAAAGGAAAAGAAGGAAATGGTCTTGGTCAAAAAACATCCATCCAATCTATGCTCCTGTTAAAACTAGACAGAAGAATGTTCTCAACCAGATATAGGTTTGCCTCCTTTATGTATGTATGCCCCTAGCAAAGGTGAGAAAGATTGTTGAAAGCACTCCACGTTACTCCACTTAAAGTATACTGAGGTACTTGTAAAAGAAACAGCACATCTGGGTAGAGTACTCAAGGCGGTTAATTCAAAATTGTTACCCAGAATCTCCATCGGTTTATATTTATATAGTCAAAGAATTCCAGGATATTTAACAAACAAAAACTGCAGTCAGGTAATACATTTATTAGAACCAAATGCCATTTTGCAAAAGTGTGCAAGTTAGTTCTCCAGACTTTGCCATCGGGCTAGGTGGAGTGGAAGAAACATGGATGTAAAATGTGGCAAAATGTGTTAAGCCATCAGATCTTCAGCTAAACTAAATATAAAGGGAGAGAATGCAAGCTTTCTCAGTCACTGGTAAGTGTGTGCAGGGTATCACATGAGACACAGTCCTAGCAATGCTGAGAAGTTGGTGGGTCCAGATGGCTGGAAACAGAGGGCTAGGAGCAGCTCAGATCTCACTAAGGCATACAGGTATACAGCAGAAGGTCCAGGATATTCAACCACATGTGCTTGTTCACCTGTAAGTCACACTCCGAACTCTGGACTCCTCTCTTTATGCTCTCATATAACAATACAGGTGGGGGAGGGGCACAAATTCTTCTTTCATTTTTTTTTCAGTTTTGATTGTATAATATAAACATGTTACCAGTCTGATTAATCTAACTGATCTCATGGTTGGATATCTCTGGATGAGAGCAAGCCTTTAGGACAGAAGGGCTGCAGGAAAGTTTTAGAAGAACTAATCTGTGCTAGCGTGTCAGGCAAAACCAAAAAGAAGAAAAGACAGAAATGTTGTGGTCTTGGAAGTGGGCTTGTCCAAGAAAGCTTACATCAAAATATAGCAGTTAGCTTTTAAGGTGCCACAACATTTTTGTCTTCTTTATTTTTTCATGCTTGTTTGGGTTTTTTTTCCTGACAAGAAAAAGTTTAGTAGAGATAACTTATTTTCCAATCTGTTGGCCAGTTCCCTGTTGTGTAGCTACACTGGTGTAAACTTTAAGTTGTGCAAGTGGTTGCAAAATCTGTGTAACAGCAGAACCCATCTTTTGTAAGCAGTTCTCCAGGTGTTGTTGTACAACCTCTCACACAGACTGCTTGCATAACCAGTTGTGCCACACACCCAAGGAGGAGTGGCGTTCTTCTTGATGTAATTCCTTGGAAACATCCACATATGTGCATTGACATGACAGGCATGGCTTTGGGGTTTCAGACATTTTAAGTACTAAGGCTTTCCTTGTATATCCTAATATAAACTAATTTGTTCAAAGCAGACAAGACGATTTTTGAGTTCTTAAGCTATGTCATCTGTTGTGACTTGCCAGTGAAACAGACTGTTCTGGTTTGGTTTGGTTTTTAGTTAAACTACAAACTGCAATTAATTTTTCAAATGAGCCACTGCAAACAGCAAACTGCAATTAATTTTTCAAATGAGCCATAGACATATCATTTGCCAAAATGTGACTATTCGGTAGTCCATCTTTAGCAAAATGGAAGTTTCATCTAGGCAGCTGCGATATGAAGATACCTCTGGTCCTTACTGCTGCAAAGGCAAAACCTGCATTAACAAGAATAATTAAATGTTTCTCAAAAGTGGCAGTGCATTGAGGGCAGGTCTTAGCTGTTCAGATTGCAACTCCCATCTGCCCCAGCTAGCAAAGCTAATGAGAAGAAACACTTAGGGTTGCTGCCCAACAATATCTGGTCAGTTTTCCTGTGCTCAAAAGCAAGGCCTCCTTAAGATTATGTAATCACCACAGTTGCTGCAGCAATTATATGTTATATCACCTATCATTTGTTGTTTAGTCGTGTCCAGCTGTTTGCCCAACAATATCTGGAGGTCAGTTTTCCTGTGTTCAAAAGCAAGGCCTCCTTAAGATTATGTAATCACCACAGTTGCTGCAGCAATTATATGTTATATCACCTATCATTTGTTGTTTAGTCGTGTCCAACTGTTCGTGACCCCATGGACCAGAGCACGCCAGGCCCTCCTGTCTTCCACTGCCTCCCAGAGTTGGGTCAAATTCATGTTGGTAGCATCGCCTATCATTACTTACGGTGAAATTAGACAGTAAAGGAACAAATCTAAAAGAGGCTCAACACAAGTCAAAATCAGGTTGTGGAGATTAGTCTGAAGCAAGCAGGGATTTCATTATGGGGGCTAGATGAATTATTTTAATGTCAAGGATTGTTTTGAGGGCGTATATGTCTATCTGGCCTTCTGAGACACAGAATCTACAGTTAATGTGGGCCATATTACATGTTGCTGCAAACAGGGAAAAAAGGCTTTTATGGGTGGGCATTCCCAAGGCACAGCCATATCACACAGCTTGTAGATGTGTTTTTTGTTTGTGCATGTGCGTTTACTGCAACTTCCAGGATCCTCCAGCCAGGATGGCCAGTTTTTCTGTGTCCCGCCACATTTGAGAGGTAAGAACTACAAAATATTTTTAAAAAGAAGCTTGGAAAACATTCAGTTTTCAGCAGTCAGAATTTCCTGGATTTTTAAAAAAAACTTCAGTATATTGCCTCAAACAATCACATAACTGTTAACAGTTTATTAATGGCCATTATTTAAAAGCTGACACTCCATTTAAGACAAATGCACCTCCTTTTTTAACCGGTTTGAGTCATGTACCGTGACTGATGAAGCCATTACATATTTATTTGAAGCATATAATTCTATATTAATGTTGAAATATTTCTCTTCAGACCAGTCAGAAATTGTCAGTCTTTGATATACACTTTACCTATTAAAGTTGTACTTTCAGCCTGCAAAAATGTGTCAATTTCCTTTTCTCTTGGCATGAGTGAATCTGCGTCTAAAGAGGCGTTTTTTAAAATAATGTTGGAAGGCAGATTCAGGTGTCAATCACCAAATATGTTACCTGGAGGTTTGGAGCCATTATTATGCTGCTTGGAACTTCATTTAGTCCAGTGTTGTTGTGCGTATGGGCTAGGCATAGTTCAAAGTGCTCTATTATGGCCAATAAATTCCTAGGAGACTGGAGTGAGAACACCTGAAGAACTGTAGTTTCTATACAAGCCTGCCAGACTTTGAGATCTTTGGGGGAATTCTTTCTCAGTTCCACTATCCTATCAGATATAGCTATTGCAGTTGCTGAATTGTGAAACTGCTAATTAAAAGTAGACTAGGCTGTCTTCCTCCCTCAATGACCTAAATCTAATTTTGAGGGAGATGTGTATGTGACATAGTTCAGTACATGTATCCCTAAGCTATAAGACATGGTCTAGAGGGGCAGGGTAAAAATCTAATAAATAAATAAGCATGTGTGATGCTTCACAAAGATGTTTTTTTGGGGGGGAAATTTGATCAGCTGCTCAAGTTGTTGTTTAGTCATTAAGCTGTGTCCGACTCTTCGTGACCCCATAGACCAGAGCACGCCAGGCCCTCCTGTCTTCCACTGCCTCCCGGAGTTTGGTCAAATTCATGTTGGTAGCTCCGCTGACATTGTTGAACCATCTCATCCTCTGTCGTCCCCTTCTCCTCTTGCCTTCACACTTTCCCAACATCAGGATCATTTCCAGGGAGTCTAGTCTTCTCATGAGATGGCCAAAGTTCTGGAGCCTCAGCTACAGGATCTGTCCTTCCAGTGAGCACTCAGGGTT